TTTCCAACTAAAACTTTGAACTTTTTGATTTTTCATTTTAAACCTCTAACAAAATTCATTTTTCCAAATAAAACCGTAAACTTTTCTACTTTCCATTTTAAACATTCAACTAAATTATTTGGTGAAAAAAAAAACTCTAATTGATCTAAATCGTGTCCCATTTAGAATTGTCTACCGGTCAACGGCGACTCCGTTTAAACTTCTACCAGTCAATAGTGAATCTAGTCAACGGGTAATCGGGTTTCTGAAATCTATAAAACCACGATTCACAAAATCACACACCCTTCATTTATGCAAATCCAATTTCGACTTACATGTATCGGATCTATAATGAAGTGGAGGAGTCCATAAATTAAATCGTCTATCTTCTCTTTTTCCATTTTCTCTTATACTTATAACTTAAAGAAGAAGAACCCTAAGATTAAAGAATTGGAAAGACGAGTATCCGACTCTTTTGGCTCAATTATAATGTTAATTAGCACATTTAACACAATTTGTTTAATTAAACGATGCTAGTGTGTGGTTAACAGACGTTTAACTCATGAATGATACGTTTAGCAGTTTAAATGGATTCGCCGTTAACCGATAGACAATTCTCAGTCATACACGATTTATATCAATTGTAGAGTTTTTTCACCAAATTATTTTTTTGAATGTTTAAAATGGAAAGAAGAAAAGTTCAAGATTTTAGTTGGAAAATTAAATTTTGTTGGGGGGTTTAAAATATAAAGTCAAAAAAATCAAAGTTTTAGTTGGAGGTTTTTTATGGTAATTTCCCTTGTTTTTTTTTGTTTTTAAAAAAAAATAAAATACGAAAATTCGAATGTGTTTTATTTTTCAACAATTTTGAAAAAGGTTTGACTGTTAAATTACGTATCAGCTTTTCCAAAGCAAACAGAATTTAATTCGCATAGTAACCAAAATGTAATTAATCTTGTAGAGGCTCTCAACATATTGATGTCATAATATCAGCTGTTAAAAAACGGTCCTAATAAGTTTCAAAAAAAAAAAATGGTCTTAATATCAATTAATGAAAATGCTTTTTTTTTTTTTTTTAACAACGTGCATTTTCTTATTCTTAGTAATTCCACTCAAACATGATTTTGCTATTATAATTTTTAAATTTATCAAATCTAACAACTCAAAGTTCAGAAAGAGGACGTGTGTGAAAGAACAGAAAATACAAGAGATTCCTTTTTATTCGTACATATTTTTCATATATTAACATGATGGTAATAATTTCACGCACCTAACAACAAACCTGCTCCAACTATTTCTATTTTAAAGGCAAGAGTCAACAATTTCATTCTTTTTAGCTTTAAAATTGTACTAATTCTCTAATAAAAATAATAGTAACAATTATGTGTATACCAGAAGTAGTATTTTTATAATATCTTTGTAAGTTAGGCACATATCCCAAAAATAGGTCAGACATTTCAACTGCAGACAGATACAGTTATATATACACTATATATGTGCGTGTATATGGCTATAAGACTATACGTCTATTCCTAATGTTTTTTTTTCTTTAAGTTACACAAAATATCACATTAACTAAAGTAATTAAGAACTTTATTTGTGTGGGGTTATATTCAAATAAATCTTTATGGATATGACACCGCAAACGATTAGGCACCAATTACGGCGCTCTGTTTGTGCCTAAATTAAACTATAAATGTGTATTTGTATATATCTACTAGTGTACATTTATGTGGATAGGTACGAGAGAAGCAAATACTATCATTATATATTTATATATGCAATAGAAGGTTGAAGAATAGTAGCTGTGTAATTTAGTTAGGTTAGACATTATACTATTCTATTAGTTGTGTACCCTAATAGTTGCATTAAAAAAAAAAAGTTTAAATTTACTATTTGATATTTTGGGTCAAATGAGAATCGCTTCGTTAATGTTTATTTGGTTCATTAAGAATTATGCTCCTCCCTTTTTTATTCCGACAAAAAATTAGTCGATGGTTTTTTTTGTTTCTCAAAAACGTTATTCATCACATCGAGTTTTGACCAAAAGAGCTACAAAGTAGAAACAAGTAAACAAAAAAAGAGGGCTAGAAACTTGGGAAGTATGGTTTAATTTTTTTTTGTTTTTGTCATTGATAAAATCAGTAATACACCTAAGCATAATCCTTTATTCGTATTTCAAATATTATAACTTACAAGTGAGATATATGAGGAATATATCATAGTTATATGTATATATAATGTTGGCCCATCCATTATCCCTAACATAACATTCTAATTACTATAGTGAATCAAACCCATTGTAATTTGTTATAAACTATTCGTAATCCAAAAACCTAGGTAAGTAGGTATGACGCAAAAAGATTATATTTTATATAAGAACACGATGAGAAAGAGCGGAAACCATTAGTATACCATGAAATATCAAAATTTAAATCTTTATTGATTAAAATGAATACTCATCCAAGATATTTTTGTTTCTGTCTTTACATATTTTTAGTGAATTTTCTTTTAAGAATACTAGAAAAATATTTTACTCTGAAGTTTGACCATACTAAAGTTGATGTATGTCCCCTTCTTGTTTGTCATGTCCGTTTAGGCATTATATGTCTCCTTTTTTCCTCATATGTTGTTTCTTATCAATCTTCACAAAAATTGGTGAAAACGATTACTAGCATAAGATTCGTAACAATTTCCCCACAATTATCGCAAATAAAAGCGTACGAGTATAAAAATAAAACTCCTGCTGTATATAAAGCGCTATCTAACGAGCATTTACATAACAATTTAAATAATACTATTGGTTTGACCATCTTTTTCTCTTTAGTATTTTATCATTTAAATGTTCCTTTACTTGCCACGAGAAAGCTCTAATGTGAATAGAAAAATTATCTTTAACAAAAAAGTGAATAGAAAAATTATAGTGGCGTGATGCTGATTTCATATACCCGTCATCATAACTATCCAGTCCCTACACATAATTATGTATTTTATGTAATTCAAAGTTAGATAAAATAACTAATTTTATCGCTGTAGTACTGTTAGGGTATGTCTCACACTAGAAGAATTAATCCTTAATAATATATATTGATGTATATATAGCATATGAATTATTTTGTCAATTAATTTTAAATTAGAAATTTACAAAAATTAATATAATAGTAATGAATAATACTCTCACAATAAAATTTAAACACTGAATTTTGAGTTTTAGAAGTGAATGTTTCAACGTAAAAATATCAAGAGTATGTTTCACATCAGAAAAATGTATATTATTTCTAGTATATACGGCATTGAATATTTGTACTCATTGATAATCAATTTCGAGTTTGCAATTTAATAATATATATATTTTTTTATTTTATAAATGTTTAAAAAAAATTTTTTGAAAATTTTCAAAATTTATTTTATTATTGATTGTGTGTATTTACATGTTTTATCATCACTTTTTTATGTAAAAAATTATGTAAAATTTAGTATTGAGGGTACTATACTAAAACAGGATAGAAAATTAAAATAAATGATGTAACAGATAAATAATTTTTTTTTTTTTTGGAAAAAAATCTATCGACAACATAGAACAAGTCTATAGCAATGTAGGGTCTGTATAATTGTTTCTTGACTAGGAATTTTAAAATTCACATATATGTGAATAATATATTAAGGTTCGTGAAGCAGTGAGGTGAAGAAGAGAGAGGACAGTGTAGCACGTGCCGGGTCATGTGTCGGCTACGGTCAAATGCCGGTGCCAGTATATACACGTGGCAGCCTAATACTTCCAAA